TATTCTTTTCCACTTTGATTTTCTTAAGCAAATGGTCACTGAGGCTTTATGGCTTCACATTTTATGAAGCTTTTGTCATTATCAATTTGTAATAGAATTTTTTTCTTTCGTAGATTTTTTTGAAATTCCTTTCTATTGAATAGATCTATTCAAGTGGAAATTCGTTATATTTCTGCAGATCAAAATAGTATAACTATGACTCGTTGTTGTCGAGGGTAAATGAACTTATCTATGGTTTTTTTTTTGAAAACAATAATTTTTCATATTCAGTTGTCCTGCATGTAATCCAGTTGCTTTTGAACAGACTGATGATCAAGTAAAAGTTTTTGATACTAATCATATACAAAAAATAAGCAAACGTAAAACACCACTCCCATCAAATAATGATAATAATAACCGTTTATTATCATCATCATTATCGAAAAAATTTTCTAATCGACAAAATGAAGAAAAACAACATTGGAAAATTCTTCATCATAATTATTTACAAGTTGCAATATTAACTAATGCAAATTTATGGTCATTTGCACCACAAGGTTTATCAAAATTTGGTCATTTAGCTGATGGCTTACTTGATTTAATTTTAATTGAACATACAACACGAAAAGATTTCTTACGTTACATTAAACGAAATGGAAACTCAAAGGATCAGGTAGAAAAGAAAAACAATATCACTCATATTACTTAGGCTAGTCAAAAAGTTCTGTCACTTTCATAAGTTTATTCATTGAAAAGACATTTTATTTATTTCTCGATAGTAAATGTTCGAAACAATCGCTGAATCCACTTCTGAAAGGTCTTTTTATATTCTTCGTCAGCAGGCATCGAATTCAGCTCCTTGGTGATTGCCCTCAATCAGCATTGCTTCATTCGTAACAAGTCTATCTTTAGGATAGCTGAACAAGTCGAAAGTTCGAAGAAGCAAAGTCAGACGAGTATGGACGATAAGCCATAATTTTAATTTTTTCTTTTTGAAAACAATCGATCACAATAATTTTCACATAGGATCTCTCATAGCCATGATGAAGTTTGTTTCTAACGACGATCTTTTTTTTTCAATAACTTTTTAACCACGATAATAGATGATATCACTAGATACTCCAGAAGGTATTTGACGAATAAGCAACGGTTTGGCAGTCAAAAAGAAAATGACAAACATTATTTTCTTTTCATACAATTGTCTTTTGACAACAGTTGGAGAACTTTCTTCATCTGCTATTCACGCTTTTGATCGTTGCTTGGATTCAATCTTCTGACAGTAGAGCCAAGTTTCATCACCAACGATAATATCATATAGTCGTCATGAACTATTTTCAAACTTTGTTAACTTCTCGGTACAGATGTTTACGCGCCGCGGTCGTTGTTCTTATGTCAGTTCATGAAATACCCATAGTGACGATATCTTCCTTAGTCTGTAGATGTTGTTTTAGAATGGTATGCACACTATTATGAGATATATC